TGGTGAGATCGACCAACGAATCTCTTCTTCATGCACTTTCATACGAAATGAAGGTCCCTCTAACAGAGATATTATTCTCAATAAGGCCCAAAGGATTATTATTTTCCAGCAATATATTTGTCAGCCGTTCCAACTCTTTAGTCAAATGTTTGCTATCCGCTAGCCTCGTACTTCTAATAATCATTGACTTCAAAATTTCAACCTTAGTCTTGTAACTATGGTTTGAAAAAAAATTAAGCAAAGAGCCAACATATGTTGTCTTCCTATAAGCATCGCTTCCCTCTTCTCTAATGATGAGAACATCCAGAAAAAGTAAGGACTTATGATTTTCTATTTCCATCGTGAACCTAATGTTCCTTTCACGCTTGTTGAGTGAAAGTAGGAAACTAGCTAAGCTTTTCTTACCATGAGGCCAGATGACAAAATAGTCATCCATGTATCTAACCAACAATTTAAGGGTTAGTATTGCCCTTTGCAGGAAGTGTTCCTCCAGTCTTGCCATATAATTGTTCGTAAAGATGGGAGCCAGGTAAGATCCCATAGCTAATCCTTGTATTTGTTCGTATAACTTACCATCAAAAGTAAAATGTGGTACACATGGATAGGTTGATAAATTAAATAATGGAAGCTACACTCAGCTCTATTCCGTTTGTTATCTCTAGATGTCATTACAACGACCAGAGTTTAAACGTCGTATAAAAGCCAAACGGGATTCATCCATCCTCATCTGGTGAGATCGAACAACGAATATCTTCTTCATGCACTTTCATACGAAATAAAAGTCCCCCCAACAATGTTATCTCAGGAGATTCATTGAAACCCTGTTTTTCTTACTATCTACGAGAAATAATTGGCATAGCAAGTGGAAAGTAAGCTTAGCCAGAAATGAGATAAAAGATGTTGGCGATGCTTATCCTACCCCGTCGTATATCATTTTCTCATCTGCACGGTAGTCAGCACAATTTGGCAGCCATACCAGCCGACGGACTGATACGCCACCCGACCAAGGCAAGTGAATCTGCTCAATCAGCTGGTTTTCAAATGTGCAGCCTATCTGATTCGGGAGAACGCAATCCCGATTCATAGAGCCCTCAGAGTTACCTTCATCCTTGCACTGTGTCTGATCGTGATCACCGTGACCGTCAACGCACCCTGTCACAGAGTGACTAGCAGGAAAACTGGTGGGAATACGTTTGGAAGTGGGATGTTGATGAGAAGAATGGTGAAGATGATGAAGTTTGGTATTGAAATCATATTTATTCCGCGACGGACGTTGCATTTTATCACATGAGTCGACTTTATCACCATCGCATAAATTGATCAATGCAGCCGAGACGTCATTAGATTGGTTGAAGTTATCTTCTTCATTAAATGAGTCATCGAAACTGGTGTGCCCAACTGAAAGTCGCCAAATGTGCACGAACGATGACCGGCCGCCAGCGAATAAGTAGCAGCCATCACTTTAGGAAAAAAGGATAAATATAACTTTAATGACAGCTTTAGCCACCCTAGGTTGTTTGAGGCGATGTAAGTTCTGATTATGGAATTTTCACAGTGAAATTCCATGCAATGATACCTCCCAAAGGTTCCCTTATCCAAGGTGGACTGCAATTCTGGTCTAGCCCGAGTCTCATAGCACCCCCGTCGTGCGTAGAAAGTTGTAACACGTTACAGCTATACCACAGCCATGGGTGTCGCTGAGTAACATCTTCGATTGTAATGACAAATATATATTTGCCCTATCTACAAGCAAACTATCAATATGATATGAGTGAGGTCTGGATTGCCTTGAAATTCACGATTATTCCATCATATAGCGGAACATTTAATTGCATACGGTTGATAAAAAATCAATAATTTAACTAGCTTGTCATATGAGGTTAAGCCATTTTTATACTGAAAATACATGCCGATTTCGCACTTTGATGATACTCAGCAACGGCTACAAATACCCCTCATACAAAGTAATGTGAAAACAAAATGCCTTTCAGTGCTCCTGAATTATAAGTAATGTGCCAAAATAACAAAATAATCTACCAAAGTTGTAAAATGTGTATATCAAACATTTTTATTATTACATTTCGTTATCGTTTATATAGTAGCCTTTATGATGATCATATAGATGAGCATTAG